TACGTTAGGACTTGGACGAACTTGTACCCTTGAGAAATGAAATAATGATTGCTCGAAGTATGTTTTCCTTGTACTTTCAACTCGCAAGACAATTTCAAGTATAAATATTACAAAGTTTTACTGTTTAAAAAGGCGAGCAAGTGTTTCATGACTACTGTCTGAGTGAATTTCAATTTCTTGATTCTTATTGAACGAAACGTCTAAGTTTCGAACTCTAGTCATGTTTCAAAGTTCTCAAATTGAGTTTTATCGCAGATTTGGACTCCGAACTCAGAGTATAACCTGAAAGTGACCAGTAAAAGCACTATATCTTTTGGTGAGTGCTTTCAAATACTGAATTGAACTTGATACTTGTACTTGATACGTGCCAATATGATTACATGCCACATGCGTGAATTGTTAGGGCAAGAGTGTACTTTATCGCACTTGCCCTTACATGATATATACTTGTTTATTGTTGCAATTGACTTGACATACTTGTTATGATGCGCGCACTTCCTGGAATTCCAGAAACCCTGTGGCAAGTTACTCTAGTCGAGCCGGCAGGGGCTTGGTCGGTTGGGTAACGAGCCCTGGGTCTCTTGCTTTGTCGAGTGGAGTGATATCTCCTCGACTAATTGGTATACTCGAGTATTACCACCTGTGTTTATTGAGGATTTTGAGCCCAGTAGGGGGTGTGAATGGTGGACGGAGAGTAGTGTAAGTGGTGTTCTACTGGATTGGCTCCTTTACTTGAAAGTTGACGGAGTGTCAACTACTATGTGATCAAGCCCTGATGATGAATGGAAGTTGGCTCCTGAGAGCCATCCGTATCCTTATGCTTTGGAATGATTATTGTTTATTGGATTATTGTTTCTTCTGAAAACATTTACACTCGCTCATTTTGAGATTGCTCACTTTTATGAACTCTTCATGCTCGTTACTTTGCTATATCGAAAACTAGTACTTATAAATAATGGTCAATTTGCTATTTGGAACCTCACTGGGCTTTAGCTCACACCACGCTATTTGTTTTCCTTACAGGGGGTACGAGTGACGCGTGAGACTTGTAAAAGACTAGCGTAGCCTTTTGTTTTGACTTTTGACTTTTGGTCTTGTACTCGCGCTATTCCTCGAATGGAACATGTTGTACTTGGATTGTATACGTTTTGAACTAGTTTGGTGTATTGAGGCTTTGTACCTCGATTTCTATCAATGTAAATTATAAGCTTGAATTGCGGATATTATTTATGGTTCATGGATATGTGTACATGACTCGATCGAGATAGTGAGTGAGTCCTGGCGAGAGCTGGGCAGGCGGTCCGCCGAACCCTTTGGTACGCCTTAGGGGGAGGTGGGGTCGTCACAGGTTTGTTGTATGATATGTAATTGCCATTTCTTGAAATTATTCCTCACTCTTATATTTTTGCTAAACTTCAAAGAACTTAACTACGCATAAAATAGCATGAGAGGAATGCCTTCAAATGTGCTAGTCAATAAATATTTATATTATATTTGTGCTGATACATGTCCATATGCATAATTCAAAAATTCTTATGTATTTCATATATGAGTATTTTTTTTTCAAGTAACTATATAAAACACTTATAAATGTTAATAATTAGATGATTTAATTTAATTGTTCTAAAGTTTTAAATACGAGGATAATGAATAAAATTGATATGGATGTACTATAATCTATGAAATTATAGTAAATTACTTGTAATTCCAGTTCCTCAACTTTTAAATCTATTTGTATTGTGACTTTGAACTATGTGTTATTTTGCTAAAGTCATATTTCTATGATGAACTTTTGTTCATAATTTATAAAAAAGAATTTCGTGTAACAAGCGCTTTATGTTGCCTATCCATTTTTTTGAATTGTTATAAAAGTATGTAATTCTTTTATTAAGAAAAAAAAGTCTTGTGTAATAGGCTTAACCTCTCCTCAATTAAAAAATTGATTGAAATAATGTACTTTAGAAGTTTCATTGAGTATTAATAATTGTAAACCACTCCATTTTTTTTATTCTAATGCCAACATAACAAATGTGACTTTGAACTATATGTGTTATTTTGCTAAACTCATATTTCTATGATGAAATTTTAATTGTAGTTTATAAAAAGAATTTCGTGTAACAAGTGCTTCACAATGCCTATCCATTTATTCTTGAATTGTTACAAAAGTATGTAATGCATTAATTAAGAAAAAAGTCTTGTGTAATAGGTTTAATCTCTCATCAATTACAAAATTGATCGAAATAATGTACTTTGGAAGTTTCATTGAGTATTAATAATTGTAAACCGCTCCATTTTTATTATTCTAATACAAACATAACAAATGTGACTTTAAACTATATGTGTTATTTTGCTAAACTCATATGTCTATGATGAAATTTTAATCATAGTTTATAAAAAGGAATTTCATGTAACAAGTGCTTCACAATGCCTATCCATTTATTCTTGAATTGTTACAAAAGTATGTAATTCATTTATTAAGAAAAAAGTCTAGTGTAATGGATTTAATCTCTAGTCAAATACAAAATTGATTGAAATAATGTACTTTGGAAGTTTCATTGAGTTAATAATTGTAAACCGCTCCATTTTTATTATTCTAATACCAACATATGAAATGTGACTTTAAATTATATGTGTTATTCTTCTAAACTCATATTTTTATGATGAAATTTTAATCGTATTTTATAAAAAGAATTTCGTGTAACAAGTGCTTCACAGTGCCTATCAATTGATTCTTGAATTGTTACGAAAGTATGTAATTTATTTATTAAGAAAAAAGTCTTGTGTAATAGGCTTAATCTCTCCTTAATTACAAAATTGATTGAAATAAAGTACTTTAGAAGTTTCATTGAGTATTAATCATTGTAAACAACTCTATTTTTATTGTTTTGAGACCAAAATAATAAATGTGACTTTTAACTATATTCCAATTTTGTCAAATACCAATGCATATATAGATTAATTAATTTTTCAATATTATTTGTGATATCATTTCCCCTTGTTTCCATGTTAAGTGACAAGATTCTAAAGTACTCCCTCAATCTTAATATTAGAGTCATTTTTTGGGAATCCAAATTTATATGGAGATATGATAATCATTATGTTTAGATGAGGTGGCATTGATGAATAACATATATATCCTTTGAATTCAAAATACTGTTTTAATAGAAGTGTATGGAAATTTAAAAAAAAACTTTTTCAAATGGCAAAATTAAAAAATATGTATTTAATTTGAAATAGCAACTCTTATTTTGGAACATCAATAAAGTAAAAATATGATAACAACTAAGGACAAAAGAAGTACATAACAACCGTTTCATGAAATTTGAAGTTCTTTGACAGAGTTGTGAAAGCTAATGAGCCTTGTGTAACACTTTTTACATGCCTGCATTGTTTGGCTGGTAGATATAAAATTCAAAACCCATAAATACGCTTGATTTAAAGTATTTGGTCTATATGATTCTCCAAGTTCCAAAAATCTTGGGCAATTGTATTACATATTGTTAGACTTTCCCACTTTCATTACATGGATTAATAAAAGATAATAAAATGCAAAATTGAAACTAAAAAAGCAATAAGCATAAACTAGGATGGAAAAAGGGACGTGTGACATTTAATCATAATTCAGCACCTATGCATGACCAAAAGTTGAAGTCATTACTTCAAAAATACATGAACAGCAATTGTGCCTTTCCAAAATAACCACCGTTTAAAACAAACTTGAGCTTCCAAAAGGTCTTGTCACCTATTACATCCCAAACAAGCCACCTAAACATTTTAAACACTTTCACGGTGCCTTCCAGATTGCAACCTACTTCCAAATTCGCAATGTTAACCTGCACCAGAAAAATCACATATTAACAAGCTAAATTCAAGCAAAAAATTAACTGCAAGCATTTTTAGAATTGAATTACAGGACTTTTGTCAAGAAGACAAATTGCCACATAGAGCAAGGAAAACACATACCATTACACCTTTTAAACAAAAATAAGCCTAGCTTCAAAAATATTTTATCATCTACCACATCCAAAACAAGCCAAACTACAAAAACAATTCAAGCTCAAGTGGCTCCTTCTAGATTGCACAGCCTATTTCCATCCAAAATCTCCAAAATAAACCTGCAAAACAAAAATTTAATGTAAGAAATTTTCCAAACATAATGAAATTTTTTACTAAAACCATTGTGCCTCAACTACATTTCTCAGCACTAAAACTTCCCATGTATTTGGCTACCCATATATTGCTTTCCAAAATCACATATAACTTGCATCACATCCATTCATCATTTTGTCATAGTGTATTACTAGAAATAACAGAGGACTGACTCTATGCATTCATATTAATTGAGATTTGTACTAACATCATCACACAGAAGCACAAATTGGTGACATCACAAACTAAATTGTTTGAAAGAATGATGATACAACTAGATATTTTAGCTACTAATCAGGATTCAAAATTTAGAATATCTTACCTTGCTAATTTATAAAATTAGCTATTGGCATTAGCTACAGTCCTGTTTTTCACTTCTGCCATCAACCAATCTATTGACTCTTGTAGGTGCCGAAGTTGAGTTTGTTGTTCCTCAATTTTAGAATGTGCAGCCTCCAGTTGTGACTTTTGCTAAGTAACGATGCTCTCCATTTGTCTATCATTGCTGCCATTGGTTCCCCTAATATACTGCCTTCGAGATGGAGGTCTAACTCCACGAGGTTTCCCACAGATATAACCGGACTTTTTTTGGCAAACTTGTTCAACTATCTCAACCTCAGACATTGGTGGCTCATTTTCAGAAATAGGTTGATTTTTCAAATTAATCATTTCTTGCTGCAAGATATAAAATTTGTACCATAGTATAAGCTCTCAACTTAAAATATTTTTTATTGACAAATTTGCTTGATATGCATGACTTACATGCCTTTCTTCAGCAAGACGAGAGGACTATCCTTTTCTATTTCTGTATGCGATATCAAACAAATCAATAAGACTGGGTTTCTCATTTCTCTCTGGATTGGTCTGACAAAATAGGCAACATATGAATGCACAAATATGTTTGAAAATTTTCATTTTGACTGGATTTAAGAACTTCTGACCCCATTGTCACAGCAAATTGGTAATATAGGATGCGAGTTTACCATTTCATGACGTTTTTGTGGAAAAGACTTAGATCCCAGCTTGTGCACATACTCCAGATTTGCACGATTAAGTGCATTAGTTCTTGAACGAGTCTAATATACAAGGTATGATCTTGTCAAGAACTCAATTCTCTATGCATGAATTATTTTAACAAAAATTAATGCATAGATATTTACTTACCTTCCAATCCTCATTGTCAAAGATATTGTCACAGATCCAAACCCAATCATCCCTTCTCTTAAGAAAGTGGACAGGAGGATTGGCCCTTCCATTTGCACCTCCCCCATACTTTTTGTAGTGTTGATGACATTTGTTCCTAAAATTTCCATACAGTCGTCCAAATTGATTCTTAACAGCATCTTGAACATGCGGCTTTGTCCAGTCCAAATTAAATGTGTCCTGTAAAATTTACAAAATTAAGTTTAGAAACTTGTAAATGATACGAAATGAATTAAATGTATCATACCACTGCACGTTCATAAAGATCCTCCTTGGCTGACTTGTCCATGGCTGTCCAATTCTGTACTCGTACTATCTTCCCTAAGGATAAGACCAAGCTCTCTTGCAAAGCATTCACTCCATTCACCAACAGGTGCATTCTCATCTTCAGGTATTAATATTGGTGGTCTGTATTTTTCACCTTCTAGATCTTGCTCCCTTCTTGCCCTTACTTCTTTCTCAAGCCTAATATTTCGATTGGGTCCACGCTTTCTAGGGGCTAATAATGCTAAGAACAAGGTGAGTATCTAGAAATTGAAAGTTTGCAGCAGTTTAGGATAATACTAATTGCTAACATCTACAAAACTAGGACATATTTATAATATCAACAAGGTTAAAATCACCTGCATTTGTTCCTGTTGAATTGGATGCATTATGGACCTGATCTGCATCATGTTCATTATTTGTTGATTAAGTAATTTGGTTTGCCACTCATGAAGCTGCATTGTGGTTAGCAGACTCATTTTGTGCTTCAATTTCATTAGCTGATAGCTCCTTTTGTCAAACAAACAATTGATCATGTTAGCTATGAACAGAGGTCTTTGAAAAAAAAATGTAACTTAGCCAAAATAATCATATTGACATTATGAATATAAATGCAACATTACACCAACTGGGCAATTTTGAGAGGCAAAAAGATTAGCAGATGGAGAAGATATTGTTTGGAAAGTCCTGAAGGATTGAATTGGAGGCTTGTTTGTTACTTGCTGAGATTGTAGAACTCTAGCCCCCTCCTAGGATGAGATATAATGTCATTAGCTATGATCTTCAGTAATAGAATAACAATCTTAATTGCTTAAGATACAGGCATTAAATGAAAAACTTACTATAGCAGATGCCATGTCTATGAAAAGATTCATGACTGGTTCCATGTTTGATGTTCCATGAGGGATGTGGTTAGAGGTTGTTTCTCCCGGAGCTACCTGCTTTATAGACACAAAAACAACATATTAAATTTATTACACTAATGTGAGTAAAATCTAAGCAATTGTAGGAAAAGTTTTAGTTCTCACTGTGAAAGACTTTTGCATCAGCTGATCCCCAGTGCAAACCTTTGGTGCTTTAGATGCCGGATTAGATTGTTTGCTTGCTGCAACTTTTTCAAATTGCCTTGCCCGTAACGCATTGCCTGGCATCTATATTAGACCACTATTAGTATCTCAAATAAAATTACAAGTATAAAGGATGCACCCAACATGCGAAACAAAATAACTTTTAGCTATCATGGAAGGACACAAAAAGCAACTGATAATGATTGTAATACACAAAATAGATTTTTTTTCATGAAACAAGAGTGGTACAGATACACTTCATTTTTACAAAACAAATGTCATAAGTCACTCTATGTCACTGTCAGAACTAAAGCTCAAATAAGGTTTTTCTTCACTTTCTCTTGTGCTTCCTGACTCTTCATCAATCATATCATCATTAATGAAATCATCCAACTTATTCTCAGCTTTGTCACCCGGTGCAGTATCCTCTAAATCAATGGTTTTTAGGTCAACATCAGCTCTGTCCAATGAAAATGCTTCATAGTCTTGAACTTCAAACATGATTTCTGAACACTCATTCTGTTGGTATGCTTCATGATTACCAAATGCATCTTCAGGATCATTTTCATCAGTAGGTTGGAAAAGTGATGGATCCCATATATGTCTGTGATCTGCAACAAGAGCTACATGCCAATCTCCACCCAATTTTGTGTCCTTAACATAGAAAACTTGGGTGGCCTGAGTAGCAAGAACATAAGGTTCATTTGCATACTATTTTTTCCCAAAGTTAACACTTGTGAAATACTTATCACAGCGAGCTGTCCTAGAATCAAACCATTCACACCCAAATAAAAGAACTTGGCAGTTCCCCCTATATCTTAGCCACATGACTTCTTTAACAATTCCATAGAAGTCTATAATTTCATTATTGTGCTCTCCCTCAGTACGTATACCACTATTTCGCGCCTTTCGACGACTATCACGCTCCTTAGTTAGGAACTTAACTCCATTAACTATACAACTTGGATACATGGTGGTATGAATATCTGGCCCCATTGCAAGTGAATATAGATCTTTGTTCACTTGACAGTCTCCTTGATCATGCAAGTTCTTCATCTGCATAAATAGCAGTTAGTGAACATCAAAATTTTAGTCTTAAAGCAATCTTCTCCTTATTAATAAGAAGAGCATATCTTACTTTTTTTCTAATGCATAATGGAAATTCAACTTTCTGTCTCTCAAAGAGGTTTGATGGATTTCTTCTATTTAGCTCTTCCTCATGCTCACTGTTCATAGTGCATAATTAGAAACTGCATTTCTCAAATTGTTCGACTAAATTATTGGTGACAAAGATTTACTTACAGCAAAAATGGTCGCAATTCATCACAATTGTCAAGAACATACCAATGGACCAAATTATATTGATCCCTTGTCAAAGTGGCACCTAGAGGCGATCCAATTGGACGAATTTTATGGGAAAATATGGATAACTTGTCATGAGCAGGATTTTCTCCATCATAACACCTATCCGATCGATTGAATTTTGTTTCAATCCCATCAAGATATAAGGAGCAAAAAGTTAAACTTTCATTGACAATATATGTTTCTGCAATTGAACCTTCTAGATAGGCTTTATTTTTCACGGTTCCTTTGAGACTTCCGAGGTACCTAAATGTGTAAAAAGACTGTTATAAGCATATATAGCAGTTAGTGATCTAACTTAGCTAATATATTTTTAGGAAGTGATATTAAGAAGAATCATACTTACCTTTCAAAAGGGTACATCCACCTATGTTGGACAGGCCCTCCAAGTTTGGCTTCACGGGGTAAGTGAACAGCTAAATGGATCATAATATCGAAAAAAGCTGGTGGAAAGATCATTTCCAACTTGCACAATATCATTACTATGTTCTTTTCTAATTTCTCAATCTCTTCCAATCTAAGCTTTTTTGAACACATATCTTGAAAGAACTTGGCTACTTCACATATTAAAGTATACACATCTGTTGACAAGAATCTGCGCAATCCGACAGGAAGCATTCGTTGCAAAAGAATGTGACAATCATGGCTCTTTAATCCTGATATCTTACCATCTTTTATGTTGACACATCTTGATATATTAGCTGCATAGCCATCAGGATACTTCACTGAACTCAAAAATTCACAAAAACCTTGTCGCTCTTTTGGTAACAGATTATAGCATGCTTGTGGCTTTTCAAGCTTGCCATTTCTTCGATGTAAGTGTAGCTCATGCCGAATGTCCATGTCCTGCAAATCCCACCGAGCTTTATCTATATCCTTTGACTTGTTTTCTAAGTTAAGCAAAGTTCCCATAATATTATCACACCAATTCTTAGCAGTGTGCATAACATCAATGTTGTGTTTTAGTGGAATATCTTTCCAATACGGTAATTGGTAAAATATGCTCTTCTTAGTCTAGTTTCTTTCTTCAAGACTGCGCTTCCTTTTCTTAGTATTTGGATTTTTTCCAAATATTACACCCTCAACAACTTTTAATTGTTCAAGAATTTCTTCACCTGACAATTCCTGCGGTTTCAACCTTCTCTCTACCCTGCCATTAAATTTTTTTCCATCATTTCGCCATACATGATTATCAGGCAAAAAATGACGGTGGCCCAAGTAACCAATCTTGTTTCTCAATGACTGATAGTCCGTTTTATCATTGCAGCAAGGGCATGCCATTTTTCCCTTGGTCACCCAACCAGATAAGTCCCCATAAGCCGGAAAGTCATTTATAGTCCACATAAGTGCTGCATGCAGAAGAAAGCATTGTTCAGTCACATAATCATATGTCCAAACACCTTTGAACAATTCTAACAGTTCATCAATCAAAGGTTGCAAAAACACGTCAATATTCTTTCCCGGTGGCCGACGACCTGGAATAAGTAGTGACAAGAAGAAATAAGGCTCTCTTTTTGATACCCAAGGTGGCATATTATAGTTTATGAGCACCACTGGCCACATACTATAGGAGTTACACATATTATTGAAAGGGTTGAAACCATCACTTGACAATGCAAGACGAACATTTCGAGCATCTTCAGCAAACCATGGAAATTTCTTATCAAACTCTTTCCATGATTCACCATCTGCTAGATGACATAAGACCCCTATTTCTTCAACTCGTTTTTCCTTGTGCCATCTCATAGAAGATGCTATTTTTCTTGACATAAATAGTCTCTGTAGTCTTGGCTTCAAAGGAAAGTAGCGAAGAATCTTCTGAGGAACTTTTTTACCTTTGCCATCATTTATTTTCCATCTAGATTGCAAGCATTTTGGACAATGATCCAATCCTTCATATTCCTTCCAAAAGAGAACACAGTCATTCTTGCATGCATGAATCAGGTCACACCGCAACCCAATGCCCCCCAATAACTTTCTTGAATCGTAGTAAGAGGACGGAAGTAAGTTATCATCGGGGTAGGAATCCTTCAATAGTTGAAGAAGCATGGTAAAAGATTTATTACTCCATCGATTGAGTAACTTCAAGTGTAGCAATTTTACAACAAAAAGTAATATTGAATACTTTTTGCAGCCAGGATATAAGGCTCGCTTAGCATCTTTAAATAATCTATCAAATTTTTCTAACTCATCTTCTTTTCTAAAAGAAACCTCCTTATTGCCCCCACCATTTAATTCTTCTTCATTAAAGGTCCCCCAATAGATGTCTTCTAAAATTTCTTGCATTTTGTCATCATTTACTTTTGCATTGTTAGCATTAATTTCAT